CTATGAAACTTGAGCTGGATGCCATGGAACTCAATAACACTTGGTCTATTGTTTCCTTACCTCATAGTAAACATTTAGTTGGCTGCAAATGGTTATACAAAATCAGGTATAAATCTGATGGATCAGTTGACAGACGTAAGGCACAACTCGTTGCGAAAGGTTATACTCAACTGGAGGACCTTGATTACATTGATACTTTTTCTTCAGTGGCAAAGATTGTAACAGTCAAAGTCTTGCTTGCTCTGGCAGCTTCTTGCAACTGGTACCTTTTCCAACTAGATGTTAATAATGCATTTTTAAATGGTGACTTATTTGAGGAGATTTACATGGACCTTCATCTTGGTTATGCTGTCAACAACCATGCTAAACAGGGAAAAAGGTTAGTGTGCAAGTTACACAAGTTCATATATGGACTCAAACAGGCATCTAGGATCGAGGAACAACTTTGGTCAATCCAAGGCTGATTATTCACTCTTTACAAAAGGATTGAGGAACAACTTTGTTGCTTTATTGGTTTATGTAGATGATATTGTGATCACCGGTCCTAATCTTGAAGTTATTGCAGAATTGAAAGGATTCCTACATTCTAAGTTCAAACTCAAGGATTTGGGGCATTTGAAGTATTTTTTGAGAATTGAGATAGCTCGATCAAAATCAAGTCTTATCTTGTCCCAAAGACAAAACACTCTTCGGCTACTTTAAGATGTTGGATATCTTGATTACAAAACTTCTACTTCTCCCATGGATCCTAAAACGTATCTCAGCTTACATGAGGGAGACCTTCTACCAGATACCTCCCATTACAGACGTTCAATTGGAAGGTTAATCTACCTCACTTTGTCCTGGACTGACATTACTTATGATGTCCACAAGTTGAGCCAGTTTTTCTCTTAGCCTCGCTTTCCTCATCTCAAAGTTGTACATCATCTCCTGCGCTAATTGGAGAGTAATCCTGGTCAAGGTTTATTCTATCCAGGGACATGCACTTCTCTACTAAAATTGCAAGCTTTTTCAGATGCCGACTGGGGTTCTTGTGTTGACACAAGAAAATCAACCACATGTTTTTGCATTTTCTTTGGAGAATCCCTGGTTTCTTGGAAAGCTAAACGCCAACCAACAGTGTCATGCTCATCAACTGAGGCAGAATATCATGCACGTGTGCCACCATTAGTGAACTTTTATGGCCTCACCAGTTGCTGAGAGATTTCGAAGCTCCAACTCAATCTCCTGCCACCCTCTTCCGTGATAAGCAAGTTGCACTCTAGATGGCTAACAACCATGTTTTCCACGAGCGGACCAAACATATTGAAATCCAATGTCACTTCATTCGTGGCAAAATTGCAGTTGGATAGGTTAAACTTCTTCCCATCTGATCTTGCAACCAGCTAGCTGATGTTTTCACTAAGCCCTACCTGTTTCAAGCATCTTGCATCTCCTATCCAAGATGTCTATAAAGAACATATACAGTCCATTTTGAGGGGGAGTATTAGAGCTAGCAACTAGCTACCGTGCACTAGCTGTACCAACTACTTTTCTGTTTTCCTTTTCTATTAGTAGAATAAGTTAGGTTGTTAGCTAAATTGTTTGTTTTGTTTGTTGATGTGAACCCATGTATATGCATTATTTATACCTCCATTGTACTCTTCATTTGGCAAGTAATTGAATGATATTCATTCTTCTTTTTCACCGGTTCAGGTGCCAACATCACCCTTGTAGTGATTCCACCTATTCTAAGAAATTTTCCCAATTTCATCATCCTTTATTCACTATCAATTTCGAAGGGTCGATCAAAGTCGTTATTGCAGGATTTAAGTACCATTATGAAGTCCTCGCAGAGTACTTTAATATGCCATTGTCGAAAAAGGAAATTGTCCCAGAGAAAAGTTATAATCGTCTAAAGTTAGCAATTCAAATTGTCCATTTCGATATTTATATCATCGTCACTATATTTGTGCAACTTTTGGAACGTGCATTCTAGTTGAAAGAATATACCAATGCCAATAATTGTTGAGATCTCTGTTTACATTTACTCGAACCTAGGCAAAAATGGCCACTAAACTCGGTTATCATATTATACGTATATATTTTCTTCCATATTAAAATAATAGAGTATAAAATACATCAAGTATTCGAAAAATATGGCAGATTTTTCGGGGCATTGCACCCGTTTTTGATTGAGCATACAAAATATGAAGCATTGAATGGATGGCAAAATGTAGTGCAAATCAAGGACTTAAAGGGACATGTTGAAGTAGGAATGTCAAAATGGCTTGCTGGCTCGGGCTATCCGAGGTTTGACCCGAAAAAAGCCCAAGTTGAGCTAGAATAGAAAAAAATTAAAATTAAAAAAAATAGGGCTTAGTTCTGGGCCGATTCGGCCCGCTAAGGCTCGAGCCGAAATCTCATATCGAGCCTCAATTTTTTGCTGAATTTTTGCTCAACTTGGGCCAAAAAAGGCCTGAACCAATTTTTCTCAGGCTCGAGTTTCGGCTTGTAGACACCCCTATATTTAAGCAAATAACTGAGCTGAAAATTTTACTAAGAGGAGCAATTCTATCGAACGAATTATTAAAGGAGAAAAACACCGCAGCTTGCTACATGTACAACAATTTGAGATACTAATATGATATTTTTATGGATTTTGGACTTCGTGGCACAAATTTCGAAGTCTGATGCAAACACTATAATATCCCATACTTGGACTATTTGTGTAGACAATTATACTGAGTATCGATGATTTGTCACATTAATTCATTGGTTAGTAAAGATTCGGTGGATCACAGCATTTGAATTAAATTTGTTATCCACCAATGAACTAATATAACATGTCATTGGTGTTTAGTATAAGATGAACACAAGACTATCAGTGTTTATTAAACTTCATCCTCTTTTATAGTTGATGTTTCGGGCTTGAAACCATCTTGAATTGTATTGAAAAATCTTAAAAGACGATTTGGGGAGTACAAATATATGTCATTTGTTTGTCTTTGTCTGTCATATTTGAATTTTTTGTCCCTTTCATATTTGTGGTGTAACTCACAAAATTTGTAGTGTGCCTGATAAAATTCCTAGTGTGAGTATAACCACCCTTAATGTGTGTGTATTAGGAGAGTGTTCCCCTACCAATACATTTGACAAATAAGATTGAAAAATAATCTCGACCATTTGTAAAAGCTAATCTAGCGATTTGAACATATTTTAATAATACCTTTTAAAACCCATATACTAGGCAGAACGCTTCCTTATATATTATAAAGTTATGGATACTATTAATTGATTTGTAACCAACCGCGATAAAGAGAATTCTAGAGCTTAGATATAATATTTGGTAGTTTAATAAAATTATTAATTGAATTATATAAGTATTTTATTTTCCAAATCTAATTAAAATTAACTTAAATAAAATACTAATTAAAATTAACTTATTTATTTTAAAAGATAACAACTCTATATTACTATCAAAATAAGTACATTTTTCATTTGTAACTAAAAGTATTAAATTTTTAAATTTACCAATAATGATAGAGCAAAGCTACTTTATTATAAGTAGCGTAGACTAACAAGTGATTATTATTATTATTATTATTATTATTATTATTATTATTATATGAAGACGAGACACTAGTATATTGTATGCTACGTAATAATAGAGGAATGCTACTTAATAATAAGCAGCATACTAACAGTTCTACCTTATAAAGATTTAAAAGGGACTTGAGAAGATTTAAAAAACAAAAAACCTTCGAGTATACGTGCTAATGAATAATCCATCAGAGAAGATTGAACATACAGAATTAGTTCGGATACAACTAAACATTTTTGGACTCTAACCCCCAATCTATAATCACTTAAGAACTCCTATGTTGTGCACTCGAGGACCTCTTGACTTATTTTTCCCTCGTGGATCACTTAAAAGGAACTCGTTCTTCACTAATCGAAACTCTGGTCACCTCTCATAATCTTCAGAACTCTAAGGAATATTTGGTAGAGGATTTAGCGGTGTTTTGATCTTTTGGTATTTTTGTGTTTTAATCTTGTGGTTGATGCAAGAAAATTATGGTAATCAGTGTGTACTCTTCTATTATTCAATAGGATTTTCTCTTTGATGAATATTTGCTCAACGTGCATAAGAGAAGATTTTCATTGGGTATTTATAGTATGAAAGAGTTAAGAGTAAAAAGGCTAAAAATCATGAACTAGGGTTTGCCTGGATAACACAACCACTCGAGCGCCGCTTAGTTGGCCAACGTGAGATCAGCTTCTGCAAAAAGGGTTCGAACTCTTAATTGGCGGTCTTTGAGCGCTTTTGGACATAAATTGATTCTTGAGTCAACATCGAGTCCTTCCGCTAACACTCCCAACGCCCAACAACTCAACCATAATTATAACTCGATTAAATGACATTTTGAACACCAAACTTGACAAGACTTTTAGACATTAAAGTATGCATCAAGTTATAACCCTTTCTTCAAAGTGTTCATTCCAACTGTGAATATTGCAGCACTCTAAGAAAAAATCTATAAATATTACATTAATCTACTCAAAATTACACTGACTATTCTGCACATTGAAGGAAATTTGAAATATCTAAAATTGAGATAGTGTCAATTCTCACATGTAATAGATGCCATTAATTACAACATGACTTTAAAAAAATATTTAGGAGTTTTATTTTGGATTTAATGAATTTGAATGCACAATTTCCTCAAAATCATGGCAATCTGCTACGAATAATTCGACTTTTTCTTGGATATTCAGCCTAAAGTAAAGAAGGGAATAAGAAAAAAGCATAAGATTAGTTGTGCTCTCATTTTATTAGGAAAATTTGATTATGTTTGATTAGTTTCTTACCATCTTAGCCTAAGGCAATCTGATTTTTCATGTCTGCAACAAATATTTACACTCCAATTCTTCCTATATAAACCATCTCCGAATGCCTCTTCCGAACCAATTACTTGGCTTCAAAAATTATTCTCTCTCCCCTCTATCTATAAATAGCTATGGATTCATCCAATACCAGTGTGACTTGCCCAGACATGTTGGAAGAGTCTCCTCACAATGACGTTCAAAAAGAGGCTTTAATTTCCAAAGAAATAATTGATCGAAGGCAATCCACTGAAGGGTCATCAGAGAATCAACCTCTGCCTCGAACTGTGGATGAGCAAGAGGAGCGTGAGTATGGCTGCAGGTACTGTAACAAGAAGTTCTCGAACAAGCAAGCTTTAGGCGGGCACCAGAATGCGCACAAACTTGAACGCACCATTGAAAAAAATATCCAGGTACGTTAGATATCTAACTCCGGATACCTGTCTTGTAGTAATATAATGGTTCTTTGTTCTACAGATCTCAGGACTTTTTCAACAGGGCTATGTATATGATGATCATGCCTTATATTTCTCGACAGGGCACCATGCATCATGGAATGTTGCGTTACGGACGTGCACCCTGTTCCCTCCTAGGGATTAACGAAGGATACACTGGATGGCCGAAGCCTTCGCCTGGAAATGTTACCCAGTTTATGGCACGTCCTAGCTCTTCGGGCATGGAAAATCGCCCTCCAGGCATTCGTTTTTCAACTCCAATGCCTGTTCCCAGTGGGAACTTTCTAGGAGAGAGTAGCAATGTACAGATGAATAATCGAGAGACTCAGGGTGTTGAAGACGACTCAGGCCTCGATTTAACTCTCAGGCTTTAAGTTGATCATTTTGATTGAAGAGAGCCTAGATTTATGTCTCTTGGTTTAATTTGGTAACTACTTAATTTAGTTCCATCAATGTCATTATAATCTAGGGTCTAGGAATTGTTTCATGTTAGATGTCGTTGTGAAACTCGGTTTGGTTGTGCATTGAATTTACTTTTCTTAAAAACAAAATTAACTTCTAGAAAAGTAAGGTTGGTTATTAAAATAAAGATAAGTTTGAAAGTTGGGTTAGAGAAATAAGAGGTTATTCTCTTTGTGTTTTGAGTTTTGAATTCATTTTATATTTTGAGTGTCTATTTTGAGATTGTTGTAAAATGTATTCTTTTTATTATTTTGAAAAATTGTTTTGAAAACACCTAAAACACGTTTTGAAAATTTTGACTTGATTATAAACTGAAAACATAAAAAACGACACATTTGTCGTTTTGAATTTTCTTTGTAAATTTTTAACTTGTTTTCAAATATGCATTTTCGAAAATAGGAAAAAGAACGCGTTTTCATTATTTTAAAAAATCGAAAACAAAAAACGATTAAAAATGATAAAGAGAACATGCAGTAAGCAATTTAAGTGTAAATTTGACTTATTTTATGTATGTTCAAAAGGGTGTTTCAATATAGATATAGTTCCATTTATACTATAATGTGTTTGGAAATCTAATAATTAGAGTCATTGACAGTTTGATTTTATTCTATGTAAATGCTACTAATTAAACAACATTTCATTTTTAATTATTACGCTTGAGTTGCATGCCTTTAGATTTTTGTTTTCAGATTCGTTATTATTTTATTTTTTTTAAACAAAGGCTATTTCATCAAAATAAAGGGAAAATAATTGAGTGCTACTACTTGAACAGGGTCACATTAGCCTTGTTCAAACAAGGGCGCCAATTGCCAAGATTTATTATTATTATTATTATTATTATTATTATTATTATTATTATTATTATAACAAATGCTATTTCATCAACAATAATGCTGTTTGTACAAAATTCATTGACAAAGTTGGGTGACAAAGAGGTGGAGATCAAATGGTAATGGACGGCTGTGATAGTAAAACAAATAAAAGAAATAGGAGGTGCCAAAATGAAAAAGAAAAGGTATTGAGCCCCCACTTTCATTTCATTTACCCGGTTTCCTCTTATTCCGACGCGGCGGAGGTGGAGCCCAAAAAATGTGAATCTCCGGCGTTAACATTCTCATCTCCGGCGTGCCTTGTAGATAACCCAGCATAAATTATTTGGGATTTACCTGATTTAACAAATTTTATGGTAGCGAGAAACTCACTTTCATTACCATTGTGTGAACACGTTTTGTGACTGGGATCCGAATTTAAGGTGAAAGCACCGATGAATCTTCATCGTAGCACTCCGGCATAGAGGAACCCAGCAAAATTTCCAGCATTGAAGGTAGCGAAAAAGCTAAGGCGAACTCACCGGCGTAAACGAACCCAGCAAAAATTTCAGCATTGATATAGTATCTTCTTTCTGAATGCTATCAATGTTTTGTATCTCAATTATTAACAACTGCAAATGTTACTCAATACTACTTGTTCAGTTGCCTTGGAATTATGCAACTTGTATTGAACTTCGCCTCTTGCAATCAAGGTTTTTAGTTTTATTTTTAATCTGAATTGGACCATCAGCGATTCATGCTCTCATTGGAAGTTTAATTAATTACACACGTCTCCTTTGTTATTTGTCTTTGCTTGTTTGCTTATATATGCAATTTGGCCCAACACAACCAGGCTGGTGAGTTTTCACTGATCTCTGATTCAAATCTTCTTTCTTTAAGTTACAGATCTCACCGTATATTGAGTGTTGCAGGTCCAGGTTTTGTCCAACACTTTAACAGTAATATTACTCGACGGAAGCGAGATTTTTCTAATGGGGATGACGCCGGAGGTGCGGAGACTGTCAGATCTGAGCAACCGCCGAATGTTAGTAAGCTGTTGGAGGTTAACGCTTTGGGAGGAAGGAGATGGGTTGGAAGAGATGCCGGAGGTTAACGCGAAATTGGGATTTTAATTTTTTTATTATTATTTTAATACTGTCACGTCACTTTGTAACCCGATTTTGTCAACCTTCTTTGTACGTATAGCGTGGTTGTTTCATCAAAATAAAGAGAAAATAATTGGGTGCTGGAACGGGGCCACGTAGACCTTGCTCAAACGAGGGCACCATAGATGGGGAGGCCTATAGGGGCACCACTTGACGCCCCTGCTCCAACGGATTTTTTACTTAATACCCCAACCCCATTTTTTAAACCAAAGTTGCTTATGTCGAGGTGGTTAGCATGCAATAATAAATTCAACAAAATAATATAAATTCTATTTTATTTTACATTTTAATTTTCTTTCTGTGAAATATATTTTGTAAATGTTTGTATATCAGTTCTTAATTTTTTGTAACTTAATTCCTGTAATCTTTAATAGAACCTTTTAAGAAAAAATAGAAGGCATGCGTTACCAAATTTTAATGTTGACCTAGAATATAACTGAAAAATTGATACAATATAGAGTAAATCTTCTCCAAATTTGAAAAAATACATATAAAATTTTCATATGTTGAATGTTATGTCTAGTCTTGTGGTCAATTTCAAATCATTAATAGCAAAAATATGTACAAGAGCAAGTTTATTTGGTTAGCTAGCACGACCGTTATGATGTAGCCTACGTTCGGCCCCATGTGTTTCATAAACTCATTTTCAACAAAATACTATTTCATAAATGTATTTTTGCCCAAAATTAGGGCTCAAAAGATATAATGTGCCGTTAATAAGACTAACGTCTAAATTAAACAAAAGTTTACTTTTTTCCATAACTTTTGTCCAACAACGTACTCGTAGAATAATTTTTAGAACCTGAACATTTATTAGTGTCGTTTATCTAAATTGTGTAATAATTTTTTGTTTCTTTTTCTAATGACTAATAACTGATTCAAGTTTTGAATATCAAAAAAGAAATACCTTGATTCCAATTAACTTGTATAAAAGGTGATTTAATAGAAATGTTCATTCACAAATACTAGTCCAATATTGTTAGGGTACTAATGAAATTCCATTTTTATTTTTATTTATTTTTTTTTTTTCGCCCTAGAAAATATTGTTAAATGCATAAATGACATTTTTTTACTCGAAAAAAAAAATAAAAAATCATTTGTACCCATTTTTCTGATTGATTTAATTGTCATACTCCAATTTAGAGGGTTGATCCTGAGTGGTGTGGTCCATTTTCATTAGAACTGATCCAAATGGTTTTATTGTAAATTACGAAATGACACTATCAGTTAAATGGGAAAAATCGAATTGGACGATTCTTTTATATTTCAAAAATTAATTAATAAGTCTAGATTATTGTGTAAAAATTTATTTTTCCATTTTTTTTTTCATGCAAAAACATGGTTAATCATTTTGAATACATATTAATTCATGTGAATTTTTATGATTTAATTTAGAGAGAATAATTAATGGAGCAAGTTTTAGGTTAGCTAGGCTTTATTTGGAAAATATGGTGGCTCCTTCATATTATGCTCCCGACCTACCTCAGGATGTACAGTTGTTGTGTTGGAAAATTCTAACATATTTGGGGTCACACGTAATATATTAAAATGTGTGGTGCTATTATTTAAAAAAAAATAGTCAATTAAAATGATCCAATAAAGATGAATTTTGACTAATGGGTATTAGGTTGCATGAAATTAAAGTGTAGAGACCGGAAGTTTGTTTTAGATTGATGAGGGGCCGATTTGAAACAAATGAAAGATAATGAATGGACATTATCTTATGAATATATNTAATATATTAAAATGTGTGGTGCTATTATTTAAAAAAAAATAGTCAATTAAAATGATCCAATAAAGATGAATTTTGACTAATGGGTATTAGTTTTCATGGAATTAAAGTGTAGAGACCGAATGTTTGTTTTAGATTGATGAATGAGCCAATTTGAAACAAATTAAAGATAATGACCATTCATTATCTTTTTGTTATATGGGGTCATGGTCCCCAATTGTTGGTGTATTCTTGAGATTCTCTGCATCCCCATCAACAAAGAGCGAAATTGAAGTGAAGATCACCCATCAATTGGAAGATCGTAACTTATTCAAGCTAAGAATCAGAAATCTATGGATTAAGGTTTGTTTATGCTTCCATTATTTTCATTCTCATTGATTTCAACATGGATGGGCTAGGGCCGGCCCTTGTGGTTCTTAATTCATGTGGTAGTTACGACTGAGTACAATAATGATAAAGTAAAGACCAAATGGATTGATTCCACTTCATTAACAAGTCAAAAGAAAAGGATACAAGTGAATTGTTCTTAGATTTATTTTGATTGTTTTTGTTAATTTTGAGAAATTATAAAATCGAATACTATTGTTTTTTTTTTTTTTTTTTATCGTTTAATATAGTGAATTGTTTAACCCGTGGTATGGAGCCTGTTGATGTTTCCCTTTGAAGTTATCACGTTATATCTAGTATTCAAGTTTTAACATGTTAGTTTCCGAAAGTAATTAAAACTGTTAGAATACATATTCAATCTATACATTTCAACCAGACTTCTTAAAAATTGAGTATAGGATATGATGACTGAATGTTGTCCCCTATTCAGATTGTATAATTAAAACTAATTTTTTTTATTTTACCTAGGTTGTAGAATTTACATATCTAAGTTTGCCTTAGAATAAAACAAAGAAGTTTATATATGACCAAGTATAATGGCATTGATGTTTATGGAGGATGTTAACTTGTAGGATGAGACTTTAAACCCGCCCCATCCAAGTATTAAATATTTCAATTAGTTTTAATATAAAATATGTATGTTAGGGTTAAGATGTATTTGGTATAATTATATTTATTTAATGATAACAACTCTTCCTCATTATCGAGATAAATAACTTTTTATTTATAAGTAAAAGTTTATTTATTAAACTTACCGATAATGATAAAGCAATTCCCCTAAAAATAATAACAGAGTAAATATATATTAATTTTTTTGT